ACTGTAACTGTGTGTGGGAGGAGAAAACCCCAATTTTCTTTCTCTCTCAGAGTGGCTGGTTGTTTCCACCTGCCAAGCACCCAACACGTAACCATCAGGGCGCCTTCCTCACAGACTCTTGTAATTAGGACTTGGACATCTTTGTGTGTGTGTGTGTGTGTGTGTGTGTGTGTGTAAGTGAAATATTCTACCTACCCCAGGACTCTCCACAAAGGATCCCTTTGTGTGTGTGTGTTGGGAAGTGAACTCATCTGCCTACCCCAGGACTCTCCACAAAGGATCCCTGTGTGTGTGTGTGTGTGCGCGCGCGTGTGTGTTGGGAAATGAAATAGTCTGCCTGCTCCACAACTCTCCACAAAGGGTCTCTTTGCTCTACTGTGCAGACTTAGTAGACTTTTCCCCAAGGGGCAGATAGTACATGTTCCAGGCTATCTGGACCTGTCCCTGGTCCCTGTCACAATTTCATGCTCCATGAAAGCAACCACAGACAAAACAGAAATGAATGAATGGGGGCGGGGGTGTTCCAATAAAACTTTATTTTCCCAAGCAGGCATTGGCCAGATTTGGCCTGATAACTACCATTTGAACCCACCACCCACCACATCCACGGCCACTGAGTTGAGTTGAATGAACTCAGTGGCCACAGTTTTGTGTGTGTGGTTTTTTTGGCCAGTGTTGCACTCAACAGGGACAATGGAGCCCTGGTGGTGTAACGGTTACAAATTGGACTGCTAACTGCAAGCTCACCAGTTCAAAAGCACTCGCTGTTCCATGGGAGAAAGCTTTCTACTCCCATGAAGAGTTAGTCTCAGAAACCCACAGGGGTAGTTTTACAGAGTCACCATGAGTTGGAATCAGCTTTGATAGCAGTGAGTTCAGGTTTGGGAGTTTATTGGACTCAAAGGCTATGCATTGAGCTACTTAACCACAAGGTCAGCAGTTCGAAGCCACCAGATGTTCAATGTGAAAAAGACCAGTCTGTTTACTACTGTGAAGATTTAAAGTCTCAGTAACCAGAGGAACATTGCTACACTGCTCCATAGGGTCACTATGAGTTAGAATCGACTCGATGGTGGTGAGTTACTGGACTCAACACCCCTTCCAGCCCCAGGAACATGTCTGTAACCCCAGGGGCCAAACACAGGCCAGACTGCTTGTTCCCACAGAGAATGCTGGCTGAGGAAGGTAATCCGTGCACTATGGTGGCACAGTGGTCCCATGTTCAGCTGCTAAGTGAAAGGTCCAAGGTCCCAGACCACTAGCCTCTCCTCCGGAGAAGGGTGTGGCTGTCTGCTCCCATGAAGTCTGACAGCCTTAGAAACCCCATGGGAGCACGTCTGCTCTGCCTGACTCTTCCAGGGCTTGACTTGCCAGCAGTGGGTGTGGTTCAGGCTTTTCTTCACCTGGAGCAATCCTAAAATGCCTCCAAGGTTGAGCTCAGTTACTTTGCACCACTCCGATGTTTTCCAAAGGAGAATAGGGAGGCTCATAGAAGGCAAGAGACCCACCCCCAATGACAGCAGCGAAAAGTTGGAAGTGGGTCTGCACCCGGTCAATGGAATGCCACAGGCTGTATGAGGTCACAGCTCTCAGATGCACAGGTCTAATTGCCCCTTTCTTTGTCCTGCTTCCTTGCAGTGTCCAGACGACATTGGACTGTGGAGGCCACAAAGAAATGTAAGTCAACCCTGAGTCTATCTGGGTGTCCACTTTGCAGGGGGAATGCCCATGTCCATTGGGAGAATTGGCATCAATGCCCCATCAGAGTCCCAGCTCCAGGGTCACACAGGAGAAGTTTCAAAGTGTCTGTCGGGGGGGTGGGGGAATGGAATTAAAAGATAATGGGATTTCTTCCATGAATTTTTTGAAGCTACTTCACACGATGGAATGACTCAACTTCTTTTAGGCAGAAAGAAGGCATGGCTTAAGTCACTGTCCTCTCCAAGCACTTTCTGTGGCTCCCTATTACCTTAAAAGATGGACTGTTTCCATTGATGCCCAAGACCTGTACAGGCTCAAACTGCCTTCCTTTCCACCCGAGACTCTTATTTTCTAGATGAGTATTATCCAAGCCTCTGAGCCCTGGTGACACAGTCGTTATATGTTGGGCTATGATCCGCAAGGTCAGCAGTTTGAGACCTTCAGCAACTCACTAGTGGAAAGAGGAGGCATTCTACTTCCGTAAAGAGTTGCAGTGTCAGAAACACACAGGGGCAGTTCTACCCTGCCCTATAGAGTGGCTCTGAGTCAGCGTCAACTCAGTGGCATTGAGTCTGGTTTGGTTTGGGGTTGCCCTGTGCGGGCTCCCATCTCTCTGTGGGTGTGGTTCCTTCACCTACTGCCTGCTCTCGAGCCCATGGATGGCCACACTCTGTCTTTCAGATAACATGCAGCCAGTTGCCCTTCTTCACCCCATCCCCTGAGCCTCCAAGAAGCAGAACAAGCATACCTCCAGCTTACCCTCAAGACCAACCTCCTCTCTGTCCTTCCCAATCTCATTCATGACCTTCGAGTTGCTTTAATTGTCAAGGACCTAGAAGTCCATCTACTCTGTGAGGACTGAGTCATGCAGACAGGGTCGATGGGAGAGAGCTGTGTGTGCGGCCCCTCCCCACAGTGCCTGGCTCGGCGGTAGGTGTTTGTACTGTTGAGTTCACTCCAAATCACAGCAACCCCAGGCACCGCCGGTCCTGTGCCGTCCTCCCTAAGGTTCTTATGGGTGAGTGAGCCCGTGCTGCAGCCACGGGACCCAGCCGTCTCGGCATGTTTCCCTCTCTTTCACCGACCTTCTGCTTTACCAAGTATGGTGACCTTCTCCAGGGACTGGTTCCTTCTGATGAGATCAAAGTACTTGAGGCAAAGTCTTGCCATCCTGGTTTCTCGGGAGCATTCTGGCTGCCGCTCTTCTAAGACGGATCTGTTTGTGCTCCCGGCAGTCCATGGTTCTTTCAATAGTCTTCACCAGCACCATCATTCAAGTGCATCCATTCTTCTCTAGTCTTCCTTATTTATTGTTCAGCTTTCACACGTGTATGACATGATTGGTTTGGGCCAAGTGAATATCCTATGTGGGAAGTGAGTGTACCACCCCGAAATAATCATTGAGTAGCCACCTGGGCAACTCCTTGTGCTGTTTTCGGAAGTTATGGGAATCAGAGTCACGTTTCTGTCTGCAAAGATCTTCAGTGAAAATGGGAAGGCGTTAAGATCCACACAGTTGACCTACTGCCATTGAGTCAATACCGATTTATAATGACCCCATAGGACAGGGTAGAACCTCCCTGAGAGTCTGTAACTGTAGACGGACTGTAAACTGTAACTGTTTCTCCTATGGAGTGGATGGTGGTTTCAAACTACTGACCTAGCTGATCACTGCCCAATGAGTAACCACTTTGCCACCAGGGCTCCTCACACTTAACATAGTCCATGAATATGTCATATTGTTAAGATATCAAGTCAAACTTTACCTGTAAATTAGTCAGGACTCAGCATGTAGAGCAGAAGTTCTCAACCTCTGGGTGGCGATCCCATTGGGGGTCGAATGACCCTTTCACAGGATTCATAACAGTAGCAATATTACAGTAATGATGTAGCAACAAAAATAATTTTATGGGGAAAAAAAGAAAATAATTTTATGATGGGGGCTCACTACAACATGAGGAACTGTGTTAAAGGCTCACTGTGTTAGGAAGGTTGAGAACCGCTGATCTAGATTGAAGGAGTACGAGGTTAGCAGCATGGATCAGAGGTACCAAGGCTTGCACCCCAGTTCCATCAGTGACTGGCTGGCTGGCCTAATTTGACCCCTTTAAATCTCAGTACTCCCTTTTCTGTATTGGGCTGGCACCAGCGCTCACCTCTCAGGCCCTGGGAAGGGCGCACATCCAGGCCTTAGCCCAGAGCCTGAGCTGCACCAAGTGCAGGTGAGTGTCTAATTATTTATTACCAGTATGGTTTGTGTCATCCTGCTGACGATGTCTTGCCTCTGGTCCTAGGGATAATACCTCCACCTTCAGTTCCCAGCCTGAGAGCACCCTGCGGTCCTGGATGAGTTGTACCCTATCTCTGGCCACTGACACCATGAGGAGCCCCTCTAGACAGTCAGTCATCAGCAGCCGCACCCTCGGCCCCAGGTAAGAGTGTCTTCCTACTGTCCAAAGATGGCCAGTATCCTGAAGAGCCTCGGACTTTAGAGCTTGTGTCCAAGTCTCCCACTTCCAAGAGCAAGCATGGGCTGATAGGTCCTGATGTGAGTCCTTGAGTAGGTAAGACCTTTGGCTGCTAACTCAAGGTCACTGAGAGGTGGCTGGGTGATTAAAACCAATAACCAAACTTCCCTGCCATCCAGTCAGTGTTGACGCCTAGCAACCCCCTGGGGGTTTCTGAGCCGGTAACTCTTTACAGGAGTAGAAAGCCCAGTCTTTCTCCCTTGGAACTGCTGGTGATTTTAACTGCTGACCAGGAAGATGGCAGCCCAGTGTGTAACCACTACACCACCCAAGCTCCATGGCGGTGAAAAGGCCTGGCAGTCTAGAAAGGCTGCTGCTTCCTAGCTTTGTGACCTGGGCAGGTTGATTAGCATCTCTGAGCCTTACTTCCTCCTATGTTAAGGCATGACTATCCTCACGGCCTGAAACACTGAAATGATGTGGCTCTACTGCAGCGTGTGTTTCCAGATGGATTTAAATAGCCCAGTGGTGAAGACGTTTTAATTTCTAATGGCTATGGATTTATGTATTACAGTTCCCTTCCCTCTCCCTCACTGAACCATGGACTTGATTCTGACTCATAGCGACCCTACAGGGGAGGGTAGAACTGCCCCTCTGGGTTTCTTGGACAGCCTCATCTTTCTCCCGTGGAGTGGCTGATGGCTTTGAACTGCTGGCTTTGCAGTTAGCAGCCCAACACATAACCCACCATGCCATTCGGGTCTCCTTTGTACCTGGCATGACAGGACCAGTATGCATCTTCCCTGGGGCTCTTCAGCACCGAATCTCATTTGGCTTTCCTTTACAGGGGGTGGGGAGCCTCTTGTAATTAAGAACTAATGGCCATACATCAGGAATTATGGATTAAACAGATGTATCATTAAGATGAAATGCGTACCACTTCTGTAAGAACAGAAGCACCGATGTGATCCGATGGAAAGAAAGATTACAGGCATTCTGAGCAAACCTAGATATCCCTCCTTTCTGACTTGGAACGCGATTCTCCAAAGCCAGGAAGGGTGGATGGCTCGGCTTCCCCTTTCGGACACATCCGACAAATGGCAGATGTCTGACAACATCTGCAGAGGATCCTCAGCTGAAGATGGTGAGATTCTCAATGGTGAGACTGTCAAAGGAAGGCCCCCAGGAACGGGGTGCATCTGGGGCGTTCATTAAAAGCACGATGATCCGATTGTTTCTGGTAATTAAACACAAAAGTCTGCACAGTGCAGGGGGGCCAGGGGTGGGGGAGAGCTGGTGTCCCCCTCTCTGACCGCTGCAGACCTTTGTTTTCCTTTGTCTCACTCTCTCTGTGAAGGAGCTGATACAGGGTCACAGCGACCCTGTAGCACAGGGTGGGGATGCCTCTGTGGGTTTCTGAGACGGGACCTCTTGACGGGAGTCGAAGGCCTCCTCTCGTGATGACTGACTTTACAGTGAGCAGCCCAGTACTTAAGCACCGTGCCACCAGGGCAGAGTCAGCCCTCATGAACACACTGTCAAATGTTGTCATTGGAATCATGTTAGGGGGCGAGCTCGGAGGACTCCACACTGTTTGTCATCTGCCCCCCTGAATAAGGGTTGACCTCTATGGTTTTTGGGTGTTGTCTGTGGTCTCTGCCTCTGTATTGAAATCTTCCACATGGGGTTGGCGGGGAATATTGGAAGGACCGTGGGCCGCAAGGAGGAGGAATAATTCCATCCTGAAAGAAACAGCCAGAATGCTCCTCAGAAGCAAGGATGGTGTGTTAGTCTGGGTACTTTGGAGAAACAAATCCACAGAAACTCATGTATAAGAGAGAGTTTTATGTAAAGAAAATGTGCATCAGGAAAACATGCCAACCCAATGCTGCCCAAGCCCACAAGTCCAACATTAACCCATTAACCCAACACCAGTCCACAAAGTCCTCCACCTCACAAAACAGAGG